CAACAGTAGCACTAGCACTAGCACTAGCACTAGCACTAGCACTAGCACTAGCACTAGCACGAGCACGAGCACGAGCACGAGCACGAGCACGAGCACGAGCACGAGCACGAGCACGAGCACCAGCACCGGCCAGCACCGGCCAGCACCAGCCAGCACCAGCCAGCACCAGCACCAGCGCCAGCGCCAGCGCCATCGCCAGCACCAGCACCATCACCAGCACCAGCACCGGCACCGGAACCAGCGCCAGCAGCAGCACCCGGAGCAGCACCAGGAGCAGCAGCAGCAGCATCAGCATCAGCATCAACATCAGCAGCAGCATCAGCAGCAGCATCTGCATCTGCATCTGCATCTGCATCTGCATCTGCATCTGCATCTGCATCTGCATGTGCATGTGCATCTGCATCTGCATCTGCATCTGCATCTGCATCTGCATCTGCATCTGCATCTGCATCTGCATCTGCATCTGCATCTGCAACAGCATCATCATCCTCGTCATCATCATCATCATCGTCATCATCATCATCATCATCATCGTCATCGTTATCATCATCCGCGAGCATCATCATCGTCGTCATCATCATCGTCGTCGTCATCATCATCATCATCATCATCACCACCATCACCGTCATCATCATCATCATCAGCATCACCATCATCACCATCATCATCATCATCATCATCATCATCAGCATCATCATCATCATCATCATCATCATCGCAATGCACCTTGCCAACATCTCTTCATTCTCATCTTCCTCATCATCGTCAATTTGCTCCATGGTTGAGCATCGTGCATCGCCGTCGCGACTGGCTTTACCCTGCCTGAGGTCCTCTACTTCAAAGTGGACTGACTTCAGGTTAGCAGAAGTTAAAGTGCAAGACACAGTGTCCAGATCTTAGAGTGCCAGTTGTCAGTGTTGTTCTGAATATTGCAGGGTCAGGATTGAAAAAAACTTAGTTCTCAGGCATGGAGGCGGCTTGTGACTTGTAACGGGCTGAAGATTGTGTGTACACTGTGGGATTCCAGCACAAGAGGAGTTGCTAGCCAGTGGAAGGCGCTTCGTCAAAAGGATGATCCGACCTTCTTCTGTGCACCTATTCCCACAGACGATGATTTCGCTGTCAGCAGACTTTCCGTTTGATAGATGCGGCAGCCACCCTCAATTCTCCGACGCTTCAGAATCCAAAAGGCTACGCCGACCATTGATGCTATTGCGAAGAGTTTGCTCGGGAAGCATTCAGAGTTTAGAGGATCAGACCACCCATGCACTTCAACTTCTCATTTGATCGAGCGCACGTGGCGTTGAAGGTTACTTCACGGGTGAAGAGGTATCCACGCCGCTCCAGATGCTTGGTTCGAATTCAGCTATCAATCCGCTCAGTGTGCGGCGTCATTGGGCAGGTGTCTGAGCCGATCTTCAAGTAGGTTCAGAAAGCAGGCGCGAGATTCGCCTCACGTGTTCCAAAATTGCCCTAGCATCTCGTTTGCTTAGCTTAAGGATCATGCTCAGGGTTGAGCTGTGTAGAAGGCCACCGCAACACAGTGCATCCTACGACAGACCACCTGCTGCCGCAGGAGCTCGTAGGGGAGCCCAAACACGTTAGTTCAGTGCCATGGCTGGAGCATACAGTGAGATACAGGCGGGGTGTTCCCGTACCTCCCAGATCTGAAACGATGTTTGGAGATGCCCTGAACCCGAACCCCCAAACCTCCGGTCAAGTTTTTGTGGGTTCTGATTCAGCATTGTTGCTTTAGAATCGGTGGGTTCCGTCAAGGATGTTAGCGCTTCGAGCGCAGGGGTACCCTCAATTTTGTTGCCGCTACGGTCGTTTCGGCACTTTGTTCTACATCACTCACAGGGGCTGGGTTTTGATGTGTCTGGTGCATCATGACAAACTGGTCATTCGAGCATGTGGCTTTGCTTTGTTTGTTCAATCTCGTTGATTGATGCTTTTATTTTTTTGGTTTCCGGCCGCCAGCGGCGGGGTTGGCCATTTCTGCAACATGCAGGTGATACAGAGTGTGTAAGACGTACTTTTGGCACCTTTCGCATGCAGTTCTCCAGTCTTTCATGGCATGGTCTTGTTTGTGGGGTCATATGTGTGAACGGTGCTCTCTTTAGCGGTACAAGTTTGTTGTTGGCATTTTTTCCAGAAGTGGTTGCATGCGTGCTAATGGCACCGAAAGAAAAAGACGAAACGTCCTAGTTTGGCAATGGCAGACGACGTGCTGCTAACTTGGGGCATATTTCTCCGCTTGTTTTTTGCGACTTCTTTGGTTGCTTCTCCCTCATGGAGGTAATGCAAATTGCATACGCAATCCTCTATGCACCTTTGGCCTCGTGTTGCATAGTTCGCCCCTCATGTTGCATACCTCGCCCCTTCAGTGCTAATACCTGTGTGAAAGGTGCTCTGTCTGTGCACGTTTGTTGTGGGTTTTTTTCAGAGATCCCTGCATGCGTTCCATTGCCCCATGAAACCCTGAACCCTGAACCCTAAACCCTAAACCCTAAAAACCCTACACTGTAAAGGCTCACTTCCAGGCCTGCAATGCCGTAACCCTAAGCCCTAAACCCTAAACCGTGGGTCCATTCCCTGGTTGTTGGATAAGGCCCAGCGGGTCGGGCCTAAGGAAGCGAGGCGTCTCAGGAACTCGTGCTTCAGGTGTTTTCTGACGTGCGGCTTCCGGTTGTGCCACAATCCTAGCGGCAACCTCGGAGTGTTCCCAGGAGTTCAGGACCTTCGGCTGCCCAATGATTGAGTTTCAAGCATGGGAACACTTGTGGCTTCACTGTTTACTTCCGACGTCCTGCACGGTAGCATGTAACAACGAGCAGGATCGGAAACCACGCAAGGGCTATAAGCTGAAAGATGCAGTCACTATTAGGCCATTCTATGCCGACAGCCCAGCACCCGAATCAGACCATGCGCTTCACACCTAAACCCTAAACCCTAAACCCTAAACCCTAAACCGTAAGTGCTCAGAACGCTTCTGACAGCCTTAAGACTCGACTCTGTGCCGCCAGGGTTATTGGCTTCGGAGGCCGAGCGCTGATGGCAGGTGGCATGCCGGGAGTCGGTTTAGGGTTCAGGGCTTAGGGTTTAGGGTTTAGGGGTGCTGTTTTGAAGGTGTTTTGGGCTTTCAAGGTTTAGGTTGTTGGCGCAGAGAGTTCTAGGCGGGTCTCTAGGCTTATATGAAGCTTCTCGCATAAAGTAGAGGCCGAAACTCTAAGTCGCAAAGCACGGTCGGCAATGGGGGAGGCCGAAACTCTAAGTCGCAAAGCACGGTCGGCAATGGGGGAGGCCGAAACTCTAAGTCACATATCATGGCCGCCGTAAAGAGGCCAAACCTTAAACCCCTAAGCTCCTAAACCCCGAGCCTTAAATTCTCAACAAATGCACACCCGCAGCCCCAAATCCCTGTAGCCGAAATATAAGCCCAGCTTGAGGTGGAGCTGCCAACGTCAAGCTACGAGCTTGACTAGGCATGGGTTCAGATTTTAGGCTTGAGGGTTTAATGTTTACGGTTTCCGCTAAGGTTTGCGACATCTTCGCTTCTCTTCTGGGGAGTCGGAGTCTTGAACCGTGTGTTTGTAGGTCAGAGGTGTAACATCTGTTCATGATGGGCTTCCAGGCGTTCTGATTGCAACTGCTGTATGGGCTTGAAGGTGAGGACTTGTGGTCTTGGGGTTCTGTGTGTTAGGTTTATGGGGTTCACGGCTTAGAGGTCGCAGGTGCATCAGCCTCCGGATTGCGGTTTGAGAGAGGTCAGGGTTGGGTTTGTGGCTTCTGGGTTGGGGGACTGCAGACCAAAGTTACGCCATCCACACCTTGTCCTAAAATCCTAAACCTCGCTGAAGCTCTTGCTGTATCATTAGGCCACAACTCTAAGCCGTTTAAAGTTATTGTGCCTTAGCAGGCACGTCTTCCAGCTGCTTCGCGCGGAGCCGCCTGAGACGAACGTGTCGCGAGCCCGGCACACAAACTTATAACAGTATTGGCCAAGCCCCATGAAGTTTTAAACTCGGGTAGAGGGTTCTTCTGACTAACCCCTAAAGCCTGAACCGTAGCTCACGAAGCCCAGCACCCCAAACCCTATGCCCAAACCCTTAACCCTAGACCTTAAACCCTAAATCTTAAACAACAACATACTCTAAGGCCAGAGTTGAGAGAGTTTCTAAGATCGCGGCAACACCGCTCGTCTAACTCATGTGAGTCCAGCACCCCCCCCATAGACAATCCCAAGGTCCTTCTGTAGATGTAACATAGGGGCCTTAATAACCACCTGTTTTACTATTTTGCGGGGTACCTAGCTAGGTACTTATTGGAATTAGAGCATAATATATCCCAAAACCCTATTCTATTCGACTCTTCCGAATCCTTCTCTTAGAGCCGTCTTAGGCAACCAGCTCTAGCTGCGGCCTGGGCAGCGGAGCTCGAGGAGGCTCTGGACATGTGCCTGCTAGGGCTCCCTTAAAGGCAGCCTCCTTGACCTACAGCATCCCAAACAAGGTGCCGGGGGGAAGGGTGGGAGAGTTCCAAACAGAGCAGGTACAGCATAGCACGGGGTAGTGAATTCGAAAACCATTCGTTAGACACGGTGTTGAGGCTGACGATCTTGCCATTCAACTCTGAATCAGTCGCTGAATCGTGACTGCGTTTTCAGGATTCCAGTAGTTTCTTATCACCGACGATTGGGGAACATCGCCGATCTTTTTGGGTGGCATCGGTGGCGCTCCAAGCCATGGCATGCTGCGGTGCGGTTACGTCGACCGCCCTGGAGCAGTATCTGGATCATCACCAGCAACGTTTTTCAACTATTATGGACCATAACCAGTGCATATTCCCGATGAGCCCATAGGACTTTGATTTTTTTATAGCCTTCTGAGTCAGATGGAGGTATGCAAACTCCATCCGAGGGCAGCTGCATGGCTTGGAGCTATGCATGGATTTCCCGATGTACACGGTACCTTTTTGCCCCCCGGTTCTGCCGAAGGCAATGTAGGTGTTTTGGACTAGGTTTTAGGGTTCAAGGTTTCGGTCTTAATCTGACATGTCGAATTTTTTTTGTTCACTATGTCTCTTGGTGGGCGCATGTTTCCGCGCTGAAATCCAAGGCATCTTAATGGAGATGACTCGCTTAGAGCCTCACGAGGTGATGAAGGGAAAAGGCCTGCTGGTGGAGTTTGACAGGAAGATGCTTGGTTCCCCAATTCCCAACCTTTAAACTTTTCGGGTTCTTATAGTTTAGTAGTAATCTGAAAGTTTAACCTTTTATTTCCTTGACTTACTGGAGAAGTAAGGATGGGCAAGGCAGTCTTTGTTTCACACCAGTGGTTGGAAGCCGATCATCCCGACCCAGACTGCCGGCAGCTACGGGTGCTACAGGATGCTCTGAGGACAGTCGCAGGGTTGGATTCAGAAGACGCTTAGGGCTTGGGGTTCAGGGTTCAGGGTTTAGGGTTTAGGGTTTTGGGTTTTGGGTTTAGGGTTTAGGGTTTAGGGGTTTTAAGGTGTAGGGAGTGATTGCAGCCTAGGGCTCGTATCTCATAAAGCCATACGATTTTTTTCACGGGCGTAGTTCTCTAAATTGGGGTCCGTTTTAAAGTCCCCCAAAACAGTACGGCACCCTTCTAAAAGAGACCCAGTTTGGAGAGCTACCCAGATTGTATATGGAGCCCAAAACCCTAAAAACCCTGAGCCAGATCTAGGTCAAGAGCATGCGGAGCATCCCTGTGGATGTTGTGAGCGAGACTCTGGGTCATGGCACACCCCTGCCGACATCCGAACTTCTCTCCGAACCGCTCTTCTTTTGGTACGACTACTTCTCTTGCCCCCAGAAGGAAGAGCAAACCAAAAGCCATAAGCGGCTTGCCATCAACAGTATACCGGCCTTTGTGGATAGGTGCTCCTTCTTTCTTGCGCTGGTACCAGTGTTGGAGAATCCAGATGGAACCAATGCGATCTCTCCAGGGAGCTGGCATGAAGGCTCGAGCGACAGCAGGCTGAGG